TTAGGTAAATTAAAATGTCTAGCGACTGGTTTCGATGTGTCCTTGTCATTCCTCTCCACGTCGCGAAGGTGTTCTCGGAATCGGTCACCTAGTCTTCTGCCTGTTTCGCCGATGTAAATCTTTTTGCAATAAGTGCAAGTTATGCAATAGATTACATTGGCGGAGGTGCACGTGAAGTGATCGGTGATCTTAATGGATCGTTTGGGTCCCGATATTTTCTCAGTGTTGTGAATGAAAGGACACGTTTTGCATCGTGCACGAGCGCATTTAAAAGTGCCTGGTTGGTCATTAGTCTGAAAAGAACTTCTGACCAAAAAATTGCCTATGTTTTTGTCGCGTTTGAATGAAATGAGCGGAGGCTGCGAAAAGATAGTGCTTGTCTCTGGATCGTTTTGAAGTAATTTAAAGTTTTTAAGAATGATGGATTTAACTGAGTGGTTGTGAGGGTGAAACGTGAGAGTGAATGGAATGCGGTCGGAATCTTCCTTATGCGACGTTTGTAGTGCTGAATGTCGATCAATAAGTTGGGCGCGGTGGTAACCNGTTAGTGTTGAAAATTCATTATCCTGGTACCTATGATAAAATGAATGTTAATCAGTTCTAGGCCGAGGAACCTTTTAAGGTGTAAGCTGAAACACCCCTTCGCTTTGTTTTCAGAAATGCCGACTCTCGCGGCACATGCACGAATTTTGTCGCACATGGCTTTCTTGGTCGAGGGCATTCCTCCGTTGAAAAACGTGGTTAGCACTTCCTTTTGTTCCTATGAATTAATTAATCGGGATTACCTTTCATTATAGAGTAAAAAGGTCAGACGTAGGTAATGGGAAACAATAACCTAAAAGTTTACGTTGTGCAAGGAAACAAAGGAGCTAGTCGAAGAGGTCAAAAAGGGGCACAGATATTTTGACAGTATACGTCAGAAGCTCGCGATAGGTAGATAGGCTCTACTTTGACCGCTTGTATGCGTTAATTTGATGCTAATTAAATCCGCATGTAAGCGGTTAATTACGAGCGAATCGGGTGATAAATCTCTATACTTCAGTTTCGACTGTCTTCTTTCTCTCCCTCTGTACGTCTATAATCTCCTTCCAGGGAATGACGCAAAGGAAGACCACTGCAGTAGCTGCTGTTACTATAATCTGAGCGGCAGCGACCGCGTTATCTGTAACAACACGATCAACTGATGGAATGACTGAAGCAACAACCATAAACGACGTCATCGCACCAAGCAGCAGGAATATGCAAATACCTTGCACACATCGTAGAGTCTTCGTTTTCTTAATCATCATCATTAGACTTGTACCTACATTAATAGAGAATAGAGAAAGCCTGAATGAGCCATAACCTGCACCGGTGGCCACTCCAAAATTGAAGACGATTTTGTTGCAGATGACTTGTAAGGTTCCATTTCGAATCAAATCTCGAACGACAGCGCTGCTACAGTTTAGGGGATCCAGTGGCTCCCGAGTCCATTTGTCTTCAAAGCAGTCTTTGGTGAGGTCTTCTTCTTCGCAGTCGTAGCTTACATCCAGTACAAGGAGCTGCCAAACCAATATCAGTACAACGCTTAACATCGTAGTAAACAGGATCAAAAGTCTTGTCAGGACTTTGGTTAAGAGGATGTCGTTCTCTGCTGTCAGATCAATCTCGTTAAACGACCACCGCGTTCTTGTACGACTACAAGTTTTCTCCTTCTTCGTCTTCAAAATATCCGAAAATGCGTTTGTGACGACCCAGTGATTGATGCGATCCAGTTTGTTTCTAGAGCATTTCATCGTCACAAGGAGGGCCGACAACCAAAGAACACAACCAAAGATAAGAGGTGGCCATAACAAAATTCTACCATACTCGTCTGATTTCATTATTCTATCTTGAACTGCAAAAGAAATTCACACGCAGGGCGTTCACTAATCGTCACGGAGTGATAAAATTTCATAAAAACATTGCTAAAATGCGCATACACCTTGTCGAGACAAGCTGAAGTATTATTTTCTGCAGTTTTTCCTAGCTAAGATTTAAGCACGTTTTCTAGTAATTTTAGTTAGCTTGCGGGCAGAAACGTGATTTGGTGTTCCAACCACATCCGTTGCGAATAATAGCTGTGGCTTAATTGCTTCCTTTTATCAATCAATCAATTTATTAATGTCAAAATGTAGGATGGGGTTGCCCCGGTCATCCGATTCAGAGGCTCATGTATAAAACGTATGACAATAAAATACTAAATTAAAAACGATACAATGAAGAAGTCAATTAAAATACAAGCACCTACATTAAGATAATTTAGAAAGTTACACCCATCTACGACCCAGTGAATTAATGAAAAAACTAGGAAACTGTCATGAAAGCGTCCAAAAGAATTTATTTAGGGGTATGTAAATAATTCTTTTATTCTCCTAGGATCAATGTAGCGTGTGATATTTGTATTTGTTACGTCATTTGTATTCTTCACTTGAGTAACCTGTTGTGTAATTAACCTTTATTTCAATAAATCGAATAGTTTTCTTCCTTCTTTTCTGGCACCTTGCGTCCACATGTATACAAGCATTCAGGTGGTTACGGCGCGAGGTTTTTTTTTTCTCCCTGTTTTGAGAGAAGGTCACCGGCGGTGAAGGTTTGAAAGTTACCAAGACTCGTTCGGATCAGAGCACGTTTTAATCACTGAAGAGTCATTCAGCAAAACCGTTCCTTTACACGACAAAAGATCCATTTGTCGGGGAGCACATGTGTGCCGAGAAGCTGGCCGAAGAAATTAAAGCGCAGAACTTGAAGGAAAAGGAGAAGATTATCTTCTGTTAGACAGTAAGCCAGTGAAGACAACTGAGTCAAGAAAGATCTGAGCGAAGACCGAATTACGTGAGGTTGGAAACTTCTACGTTTAGCTGGGTTAAACGTGAGTTCGGTTTGTGAATTGTGAATTTGGTTTGTCAGTCGTTTGTTGGTGGAGCGTGGTGATTTGTGGACAAGACAAGAACACGGACGCGGGG